AGATCGTTTACGGTCGCTGGGAATTTGCTTCAGGAGGACTTTTGAATGATCCTTATCTGTCACCAGTCGGATAGGCTCGATGGTCGTGATTTTCATGTGCGACAGTGCCCGTTTTGTGTGTAGTCAAGCTATCTGGTCTGTGCTTTGCCCCCGCCCCTGACCGTCGTTCTTCCGACTTTGCTAAGAGAGTGTGCCTGTTAGAGGAGTCTCTGTTATCGTTTCTTGATCTGATCATATCAGTTGTTACCTCTGGACCTGCGAAAGAATTAGCTCACATCTGAAGGTATCTGGGACTGTCGTGTTTCGGATTTAATCCAGTCTCGTCACAGCAACAGTCCTTCGCAAACACCTCATTTCTGAAGTGACTTGGCCATAATTTATCCGAGGTTTTAAAGGCAATAAGCGTGAGTGATCAGGCTTTGTTTCTCATCTGGTTACTCGTTTGATAAACCGTATGCTGGTGTATCTTTTTTGCACAGCAAAATCATCGATGAACTGAAAAATATCGCCACTGCACCAGGAGTTCAACCATTAAGCTTGGGTGTTAACCAGGGAGCACGATGATTGCATTTTGCCCTTGTCCTTGAATAACCGAGTTATTGTTGTAAATTTAAAATTTAAAGATTTCTTTTGACGAAAGATAGATCAGAGAAACCGCCGCCAATGGTATGGTCATTGTTTAGATGAAACTAGCTTGTCATCAGATTCTTTATACTTGTACTTGTCGGCCCTGACTTTCTGTCTGTTCTTGCATAAGAATAAATTAGAAAAGTTTTATGAATTTTTGTGAGTTAGAGGGCGACTGGTTTGCTATTGAGTCCAGTAACAAGGTTATATCAAAGCAAAGGAGGAACCCTTATGGTAGACTGATGACCTCTTCACAGAAATAATGAACGAATCATTGAAAAAACGTCGCGAATTGAAAAATTGCCTTTAGGCTGCAGCTGTAAGAGTCAGAAAGATAGTCAAACACCCTGATGTAGACTCATAATCAGTGAGAGTATAAATTTTTTTCGGAAACTTCCTTTGAGGATTTGTCCTGTGATATCATACCATAGTAACTTTTTGACCAGAAATGTAATGATTAGATGTAGAAGTTGCTTTGCGCTACCGGTGATGATGCAATGTGTTTTTTTCACACTGAATCAAAATTCGACTCAACGATTTCCACCTTAGCGTTACTCATGACTCCAGATGTCATAGGCTAGGTAGCAGTTTGACTTTTGTGTTCTCTATTGGAGTTCATTCTGTCGCCATATTTAACTATCATAAGACGTCATTTGCTTGAGACTGGGTTTTGGATCATTGTTATCGTTTCATGACGACAAGCGCCGTTTGAGAGACCAAGTTCTGTTGCCTTTTTTCGGTTCTTGCTTCTTTCTGTTCAGTATACATGTTTTTTCTATTTCTCGTGCTTTGTTAACTTGTACGTGATATTAACAGATTCCATCTCTGTTCTGATTGCTGCAGTTTTGTACACTCAGTTGCCTTGACTCATAATTTTGCTACTATACTCATTTCTTATTTATTTTGTATTATGCATAGGTAATGCCATTTTGTATTTTTTGAAAGATGGCTTTGTTGATTCCGTGTAAGCAGTAGATCATCGAACTTCATTTTGTATAACTGTTTTTATTATTGTTGTTTATTTATTTACTGTTTTCGTTTTATTGTTGTTTATTATCTTCATCGTCAGGTTAACAAGGGTTGAACAATAGGGTAAACCGGATTTATAATGTCTGGCTGTTGAAATTGAGTCTCTTATTAATGCTAAGCAGAAAGGTCTTGTGGGGGCAAAATTCACATTCTCTTTTTAACAGGCTTGCTTCAGTGATGTATCTCCTGATTTTATATTATGCTCCAATGCTTCTGCTCTTAGACACAAAGCTATGATAAACGTTTTACACGTTCTTTTGTTCTTTACAGGACGTTTTTCTTGACTAAACAAAGTGCCCTTCTCTGAGCGTTGATAATTTTCTAAGACTGTTGGTTGTCAGCATCTATTGTTCTTCACCCAAATAGTACCATCGTACATGTCTTCCTTGAGTTTCTCTGTTCAAGCGGATCACAAAAAGCGTTACGCTAAATTTGCGAGAGATCTTGATTATTCAAATGGCATGAGGATGTTACTTTCTCTCTATTATTTCGTACGTATTGTATCGCCTGGATCGTCCTTTCCTATAGCTTGTAGGCTATTTTTCTCTGTTTCGAGAGAAGTCCAGCGATAGAGAATTTAACAGTGCCATTCAGCGAATTAACACTCACTTGTTTCTCAATTCTTCCATCTGTTTGTAGTCTGGGTGCTTTCTCGTGAAGAAAATTCCACGGCGGAATACAAAAAATCCACGTGCTCGTTTTCCGACCAGTTTCCGAGTCTTTATGCTGATCTTATACTTTGTTAATTGCCCTTTCTTCGTTACAGGGCCGTCAAGGTTGCATTATGGGCCTCGGCTTGAGATATATAGTTGGAAGCTGTTTAGTATCATTCTATTGACAAAGGTCATCATTAAATTTGTCGCCCATCCTCCATCCTTTACCTTACACGTGTCTCAGGCTATATATCGAGAAGAAACTAGTGTTTTATTGAATTGGAGATGGAACAATGATAGCTATCTATTTACTTTACAACCACCGATGTATTTTTAGTCAAATTTTGCAATGGGCCGCACCTCAGCTACGCATCGCGTTGTGTTTATGCTCGACTTCGGCCTGGCACGGCAGTATGTAAATGGGAAGGGCGAGCTGCGATCTCCGCGCAGTTCTGCTGGTTTTAGGGGTACTGTTCGATATGCGTCTTTGACTGCGCATAAAAATCGAGTAAGCTTCCTTTTTCTTCACAGTTTTTGTCCGCCCAGTGTTCTTACTCTATCACTCCGGTGATATTGCAGGAGATGAGCCGAAAGGATGACCTCTGGTCGTTGTTTTACATGATCGTCGAATTCATTCACGGGTCACTACCTTGGAGAAAAATCAAAGACAAAGAAGAAGTCGGTCGCCTAAAAGAGGAGGTCAGCTACGACAAGTTGCTGGAAGGCCTTCCTTTGGAAATGAAGGACTTCTTGTCGCATTTGCAGCAGCTTACGTAATGTTTGAGATTTTCATGTGTTCGCAGGCTCGCATCTTTGTTTCAGTTACGGGGACTGTCCGAACTACGAGTTTATGAGCAATTGCTTACTTAAAATGGTCGAGAAGTTAGGAGCAAAAATGGACGATCCATTCGACTGGGAGATTGTCGCCGATAACACCGCCGTACCTTCCGTTCCGCGATCTTTCTCCAAACGTTCGACAGTCACTATCAAAGAAAGACGGTACGAGTATGAATATGTTTATTTTTTTACTTTATTTTATTGCTGTTTAATAAAAATAATCCCGGGTATTTTCGATTTGCTAGCAGATTGCCAACAGTAGGAATAACAATCTCTGTCACTTCTGCGGATTCGCACCAGGTTTTTTCACTTTTGCATTGTCTTCTAATGCATCTGCGGTTAGTGCACGGTTTCCAAGCAAGAAAACGTTTAAATATGTTTACGTTCTTTTTCTGGGCCGATTAATTAAATCATCTCAGGCGTCGGTCTGGTCTCTGAGTTACCTGGTAGTCTTCTCAGACCTCTTGTCATGAGTCCCTGCTCGTTTGTGGCCTGTTCGTACCACTGCACTTTGAGAATATCGCTCAGGCAGGCTTTGTTGGAAGCTGTCATGGCGTTTCTGCATTGCAGCTTTTTTAAGGCTGTACATGAGCATCCGAATACGGCTGCTTTCAGAATGATGATCTTAAGCATCAGTTCTTATATTTCGATCTTTCC